TTTAATGAAATATTATATTTTTATTAAAATTAAAATAGAAATTCTAATTTTATAATTGTATAAATCTTCCATCAGAATTAATCACATTAAAATAAGATTTATAGATCATATAAATTTTATATAATTTTCTAATATTTTTCGATATATATAATATTCTATTTCAATAAACTCATCTCTGTCAAACTGTGTTTAAACCAGCATATAGGATTAGTTTTTAAACATTTACATAACGAAGTAACACTTATACTTCAAGATATCTTCAGGTCTGATAATGTATACAATAAACGCTACATTCGTAGAGTCATCTAAAAATATTTAAATGTCTAGATTATTAAAAAAATAGTTTTTAATCTATCGCGATTCATATACAGATTAAAAAATAATATGAGTTAAATATATTCTTTATTTTTATTTGGTGGTAAAAACAGCGCAGAACGGTCAAAATATTTCATGATATTCAGCAAGCGAGGTAATCGTTAAAGTCTCGTATTATATTATCAAAGCAACAAAGCGAAGCTTGTTATGTCATCATTATAATATTATCTTATAGATGTATATATAACGAAATAAAACCATAAAAATCTAGAAATTCAAAGCTCTAAACTGTGATAATCAAAAATATGATATTAAAGTATTTCGTGCTGTTTACTTACATTAACGTATGATCGATCCAAGATCAAACATTTCCAGCTGGTCGCGAATAGAATTTCTCCTCATACATACGAAATATTTCATTATAATTGCCAAAGGATATGTAGATAGTAACACTACGCAATGTCCTAAAATGAGCCTGAGGCAACACGTGTCGAAATTAATCGGAAGATTGATCACGTGAATACACTGTCGATGCCAACTGGAGTTGTATTACGACTCGCAGATTTTCAACATGTACGCCAGTACACGAGGACCAGTTGGACTGGAACTGTTCGCCGATTATGCAGGCACGATCATATAAGATAACATTCACACCGTAAGAGAGAGAGCAAGATCTTCGATAATATATAAGGCCACGCAAAAATAATACGAATAAAAACTTCTGAAAAATATTCTAAAATTTCCTTCATCTTTTATATTAGTCCAGTCGTCAGAGGCAAAAATACCACTGAACCTCTAAAAATGATCCGACCTGGCTGAAATTTGGTATCAATGTTCACTAGTAGTCTCCAAAAAAGATGCAAAAAAGTTTACCACTTGTACCCCCGGGCTTCGTCAGAAATTGCCCCCTAA